ATTGAAGGAGAGGAAAATTCGATTAAAGAATTACGAGATTTGTTTGAATTGTTAACCAAAAAGAAAAATAATTTCAGAACGCTTGATGATGAAATACAAGAGTTAATTGATGTTAACGTAATTGAAGAAGATTATAGTTTAAGCGAAGAATACAATGACAAATGTATAATTGCTTGTAGTCAAATTAAGCATTTTCTAGATGCGGGTACTGCAGTACCGCCAGCGCAGAATCCCGAAAGTTCTGATTTAAACCAGTTAGTGGTAATGGAATTTTGCATGTAAGTTCCAGTTTTTCTATACTGTACATATGGTCTAGACCATATGTACAGTGTGCGGTAAAGCTTATGACATTGTATTGAGGTACCTTGCACTGTTAAAAAGGGAACATCTTGCTCTCAATTTGCAAAAGATACTGTATAGTTGCATCATCCGGCCGATTAATTACTTCCGCGTCCCCCGCAGGTGCGAACGCCATTAAAAACGAATTAAACGACTTCAGACTCTTTAAAGCAAAGTTTTACATTTCATCACTAATGTTCCCTACTTCGTCAGGAATATAAGTCTTCACTTAAAATGGAAACAATACAAGATTTCATCAATAGACTGAATGAAAGGTTATATTATAGGACCATGAGTAGTAACCCTGCAAATTTGGCAAATGTTCTAGCCTACGCAGTTTTACAAGAGCAGATAGTTAGCAGATAGTTAACAGATGGTTAGCAGAATCCCTCGGGACTTGGGGTCCGAAAAGCTTAACTTCTAACATGATAGAGTCCCTTTTCTTATACTTCGTTATTAGCAGTACTTTACATTTTTCTGGTTTGAATGCACGTCTTCCACCTGGTGCACCATCTCTCGAATTCTGGAATTTTTCTCCTGCATTTTTGATAAACCATGATTTGGTTTTCTCGATCTGACGACAAGAGCCGTATCGTCGGCGTAACAGGCCAGAAGGATGTTAGCATTTCCACTAAAATCAGGAAAATCATTTGTGTAAATAATATGAAAAAGCGGTCCTAAATGTGACCCTTGGGGAATTCCTGAGTGAATGCGTTTGATATGAGAGATTTCTTTCCCGTGCTTGTCCTGTTTTCTAGAAATGATTTGATCCTTAAAATCAGTTCCCTGGGGAATCCGAGATGAATCAGCTTATACGTAAATCCTGGATGCCGGACGCGGTCAAAAGCTTTCGCCAAGTCTAGCATCGGGATTGAAGAATTCATTTTGTTCTGTAGAGCAGAACCGATGAATTCCGCGAGACAAACCAACTGGGTGGAAGTGGAGAGGCTTTTCTTTAAACCCGTGTTGATGATCACTAAGAATGTCCAGATTTTCCTGCATTCTATTATAAATTAGCCGCTCGAGAATTTTGCTTAATGAAGATAGCAAACTAATTAGTGTGTAGTTAGCCGGGATATTTTGCGGTTTTCCTAGTTTATGAATCATAAAGATGTTAGCTTGCTTCCAGGCTGATGGAAAACAATAATTGTATAGACAAACATTGAAAATGCTCTTAAGTTTGCAAATAAGCTTGAATGGCATATTTTTTAGAATTTTACTGATTTCATCTTTTCCTGGGGCCTTATTGGGTTTCAGGGATTTAATTATACTAGTATTAACTTCATGTGGAGTAGCGAAATTACTACTGTTATGGGCACTGGGCGAGCTGAGCCAGCTTTGGACGAAATGCATAAGTACTGTGTCCGACTTATTATTCGTGTGAAAAGAGTTCGGAATAAATTGTACTGAGAGGTGATTGGCGAAAGGTTCAGCCTTTTCTCTATCGGAATAAATGAGGTCCGTGACCCATTGGAGCGGGTTTTTTCATTCGCTTGGCAGTTTTAGTGGCTTTGTCAGTCTCCAAATGGCGCCAGCGTCATAGTTTAACGTCTCAGTTTTAGTTTGCCACATACTGCTTCTGTGAGCTTGAATTTGCTGTTTGATCTTGCGATTAAGCCGGTTGATCCCCGTCCTGATAGATACATGGTCCCATGGATGGGGTCCCAAGTGCGATCAAAGTGATTACGGAGACAGTTTACTGTTACTCGTAGGCCAACGAACCCTTTCATACAAACTCAAGGCTAATTTACATTTGTCCAAGCGACTTGAGTGAGCCGTTCGCTACGACTTCTTTGACAATTTAAATGTTCCCTTCGTCCGAATAGAAACGTAGGAGCGATGAGTCAGCGATTCCGTTCCTACTTTGAACCAGTTGAAGATATATCCGGGCAGTAACTCCGAGCAGTGTTCGCAGATTCGTCATGCCCAATACCGAGATGGAGCGATAATCCAACTATGGCATTTTTTAATGTATTTGCATTTCGTGAAGTATTATGGGATACCTCACTACCTGAATATTACTACCATTGTTTACTAATATCTAAATATAACGTGGGTATAACTACTGCTCAGACCGAATTTAGGTTTTTCATACTGTAGAGAAAAAATAGAAGAAAATTAAATTAGGGTTTTGATTCAAAATATTTATTTTAAACATATTTATTTCTAAATTTTCTTAAACCCCCCCAAAAAAAATAGATTGTATGTTATTCAACTACCCAATGCAGTTTTCAATTAAAAAATAAATGAAAGTTCAAACATTTTATTTTGTTGATATAAATTTCGAAAATCCAGTTTTTAATCATGGCCAATTACATCTAATAAAATATAATCTAAAATTTTGAAATTTTATTTTATAGACTCTCCTTTTTATTCGAACCACAAATTAGATTTTATTTACAAACGATTACTTGGAAGTATCAAAATATAAATCGCCGATAAAGTGCGTCTGAGAGTATTATTAACATGTTAAAATTTGAGGGTGATGGAAAGCTCAGGCAGTTGACAGTTGACAGTTGAGAGCAGAATCTGGACACCCGTCCGGCTTACTTAGACTATTCGGGTCTAGTCCAGGTTCCGCAACTATCCCGGGCAACACCTCATGGGCCCTATAAGGGCATACATTGATCCTGTATACATGCTTACATAGTTCATAATATATGCCTATAGTTACATAGTTCATAATATATACTTACACAGTTACATAGTTCATAGTACATCATGCTTATATACAAGTAGTTCATAACACATAGATCTTTCATAATACGTGCTTACATAGTTCATACATATACATGGTTACATAGTTCATAGTTGCTTACATAGTTCACACTTGCTTACATAGTTCATAATATATTGATCCTGTTACATAATACATACATAGTTCATAATATATTGAGCCTGTTACATAGTACATACATAGTTCATAATAATTTTAATTGGCAATAATACATACATGTTTCATAATATATACAGTGGGACATAATACATACATGTTTCATAATATATACAGTTAAAAAAAGAAAGAGAGAAGAGAGACTGACAGGGAACTATTCCCCACTGCACAAATTTGTTCCCAATTCCACCAGTTTCTGCATTATCTTGCATATTTTGATGCGAAATGCTGGCTGTTTGGTCACATAACGCTTATGAGAAATTGCCTTTTCCGGAAGCTGCACATACCACTGTGCGGTTAGAGAGCATTGGGTTCAAGCAGAAGATTAATAATTTTCGCTCAACCTCATACACTGAAAATGGCCTCAAAACACTTCTGGAACAAATATGCTGATTGTGCATTTTGGCACTCGAAACAAATATTGCAGAGAACTGAAGGAGTTATCCGTTCCCAGAAAGTGAAGGGCTATCTGCGTTTTAATCTGCAGAGCATCTCGAAAGAACGCATTCTTTTTTTTTTTTTTTTTTTTTTTGAATAAGTGGAGTGACCATTTCCAATAGAGTTTCAAATTATCCTTCACCTATTCTGATGAAGGTTGTGTAACTTTGGATAGCCTCGTCGCGAAGTTCATTTAAAAGTCGATTAATGCAGCCAATTCATTACGGCAAGCTACGCCGTCACGGTTTGATTTCCTTTTCTTCTTCATTCTTTCCCCTAGACCAGAAGCAAATTCGTTGGAAACTGCTTTGCAAACTTCAAGCACAGCAACTTGCACGTCGGTATCCATTTTGCGGAAACGGAGGCGGGTTGTGAGTCTGGCTCTGATTGGTGTAAACAATCTATGAGCACAAGTCCGTTCACTCGATTGGAAACGTTCGGGCGAAAAGCTCGCCAAAGACACACGGAGAACAGTAAAGCGACGTCGGCATAAGATAATTTCACATTCTTCCATTACACAACACGCAGCTGCATTTTGCAGCAACATTTGTCTAGACAGAAACACACGCGTATGAGACTCACGAAGTGAAACTCGTTATGAAATTTTAAATAAATATACCACTACGGAAAAACTAGTGGTGAAAGAAAAATAACTGCGTTTTTTAAAGTAAATTGCATTGAGGTAAAAATTTTGAATACACACTTCTGAATTTCAGGCAAGATCATACATAAGTTTCTCTACTTTAACAACAATGTGAGAAGAAAAAATTACTATTTTTCCTTAAAAAATGAAAAAACTTTTATTAACAAAATAATAAAAACTCTTTAAATAAATTTTTAATCTCGTTTGCTACACGTTTAAAAAAAGTACATATCTCACACACTTTACGTCTTTCAGATGGCCACCAACATATGTCTCAGCTTTCATATAATTTGACTGGCATCTTGAAATATAGCACGTAGCACTTTTCATCTACAACGGATAATAGTAAAATAAAAATAATTCCTTATTAACGATCTCCACAGATAAGAAATTCGGAACTCCAGAGAGATACCCTATCAGAAAACTGCAAACGACCTTCTTTAGGAACATTATTAGTCAATCTTACTGGTTAGACGTTGTCCAAGTAACTTTTTGCTGCAACGGAAAGAAAGAATCCACATCTCAAAGTCTTCCATTACGGAACAGGCAACCGCAATTTGTAACAACGTTTAAGCAGCGTACAGGAACATGTTAACCAACCATTCCAAAGTGGCTGATGTAGTTTAGTCGAAAAACCAGAGACAACTGTAGTTTATCCAACTCGTGGATATATATGCGAGATGGGCAGGATCGACACCACCGAGACTTAGAAGGCCGTATCACTCCCCTCGCTACGTCATCTTACGTCACGATGAGGAGACCTCTTGCGACTCGTAGCCTTGACCTTTGACTGATATGTTCACGAGCTCTCAGTAGTCTTGGTGTGACCGTTCGCCATTGCTGTATTTTTGTATCTCCTGTAGAAAACGTTTTTCTCTTCCTTTTGTTTTACGCTTACGTTTTGGATTAAACACACATCATGCCAGCTAGATGTTGCGTCCCTGGATGTAAAGAAAACTACAAAGGACAGCCCAAAGTGTCAATTTTTCGTTTCCCGAGGGATCCAGATCTTCGAAAGAAATGGATAATGGCGATCCATCGAAAAAACTTCCAGCCTACGAAAGCTTCTAGGGTAAGAAACATATGTTTTCTTGATTACTGATTACTGTCTATCATACTAAATATCAATCTGCTCATTATATATTTTAATGTATTCTATATCATTCACTATATATTTTATCGTTCACTGTATTTATGCAACTGAATTTTTTGGTCTAGGTAAGAAATATTGGTACTTTTCCGTTTCCCCGGCGCAAATCTCGCCAAGCAGACTTTGTTGGCGACAACATACAGTATACACATAAAAAATGTTAATTCTAAGAAATTTTTATTTTTATTTTGAAGGCATAAAGCATTTTAATATGGTTTAAAATTTTGTAAAAAGCCAATAAATTTGTAAAGAGACATTAAGAATTTACTATGATTTCATGGTTCAAAATCCTGATTCGTCGGTTCGTATCACATGACCCCAAGTGATCTCATCTCACGTAAACTACGTTACTAAAATCTAATTCTCTCAGTAATTATCTACATTAATTTCAAGTTAAATCTTAATTTGGAATACAAGTTTAAATGCAAGAATTATTTCAATTCGTACAAATAGCTTACTCAGAAATTATGTAAAACCGCAGTGCTTTACTTCGTTAGTGCATTCTCATTAGAATTGATGAATTGAACACTTGATTTCGCCTTCGGATGAGCGGTGTAATTGCGTTCTAATTGTCTTAATTACCGTGAATTGTCTTAGGGGATAAAATTTAAATATCGTGTAAAAATTCTATATTATTGTATGCCAGTATTGAAAGAAACAATCTGATAAGAAATGGCTGCAACTTCTTTTGAAACTGAGGCGTAAAAGGTTACCAGCGAAGATATTCCGTCTGGTATCAGTTAAACCATTATTGGCGACTTTATCGTTTGCGCCGGCAAAACGGAAAAGTACCGAAATATTTTCAAAAGAATTAAGAAGAAAAAAAAAATAGCTATATATTTTTGTATGCAAAATGTCAGATGATTTGAAAATTTCAGTTGTCACCTTTCACAACTGAATAATAAAATACTTTTTGGTTAACATAAATTTGTAATGAAAAAATTCATGATTATCCTAGTTATAATTCTAATCTTTTTACGAATCGTTAATTTTAGAAAATGTTAATTAAATGGTTAAATAATTTAAGTATTGTAACTAACAAATATTTAGAACATGCCATAGCAATCTAGAGTGATCAGGGGCGTAGCTAGAGGGGGGCAAGGGGGGCATCTGTCCCCGGGCGCAGAATCCAAGGGGCGCCAAACTGATGTTACGACATTTTAGAATTAAATGTTTTCCATCCTTGGCAAGCAGTAGGGGCACGAAATCTTCATTTGTCCCTGGGCGCTGAAAACCCTAGCTACGACTCTGAGAGTGATATTGACATAAGAGAACTCCAATATTAATTATAATATGTATTAAAAATGTAGCATTTTAGGCCCAAAATATTTGAATACTTAGTTCACATAAAAACTGAACAATTGACGTCCGTTCTCAAATTCAGTAATAGTTAAAAGAGACCAATTGTAAAACATTATGAAGTACATTAGTCAAAACTGTATTTATAATTTAAAAAAGGTAAACAAAAGAAGAAAATTTCCATTAAATATATTCTTGAAGTATAATGATAAATATTTTAAAAGTATATGTTCCCTAAAATTTAGCTTCGAATTTAAGCTAATAAAGAATCTGGCAAAACCATCAAATTTTAAAATAACCATATTTTGTTTTCTTGTTATAAGAAGTAATTTTTTGAACTTACTGATTAATGAAAATTCTTGATTTTCAATTAAGCTAATATTTTTTACTTAAATACACCTATTACAACATTTTAGAAAGTTTTAAAAAAAGAATTTTTTTCCTTATAGAATTTTTATGAGGATTCTAATTGTCTCTTTTATTTCATTAGGTGTGTGAGCTTCATTTTGCTGCATGTGACATCGAAAGAGTTTCAGAAATCTACGATGAAAGAACTGGCAGAAAAGTGACAGCAGTTTTACAGCATCCTCGTCTAGCATGCAGTGCTGTTCCTGGAAAAATTGGCCCACCAGCGGCCGAGCGGTAAAGACGCTGAACACTGGTAGTTCGGTCTGAGGTTCGAATCCCGCGAACGGGCTGGCTGCATGGGCGTTTTCGTGGTTTTCCCCATGTGTAACGTGTATACGAGCCAGTTTCCCTTAGAAAGTCCTCCACGAAAGGCATCCCTCCCTTTAGGCAGATAGCCCTCGTGTGCTTTGCCATAATTAAATACACCACCACACACCTGGAAAAATTGAAATCAGAAGTTTTGATACAGATAATATTGACCTCATTAATACTGACAAGAATTTTATTAGTGCCTTCTGTACGTTACAAGTAACTCAAAATGAACTGGATTCTATTAATGTAATGCCACTCATAACATATCTCGCTGGATATTGCGTATATAGATTTCTGAGATTTCTGAAGACTGTGAAATGTGAGTAGTATTGTCGGGAAAACCTAACTTTAGACAAAACTTTGGAATTGGATGAAGAATATCGTTTCATACTGAATATGGACCGAGACGGATTGCTATGTCCACAACCAGATGTAATAACTGTCGTATCATATACCTATATTGTAGTAAAAAAAATTAGTATCTGAAGAACATGAAGACAATTTTTTAAAGGTACGCAATCAGCGATCTCTTGCATGGGCATTAACGTATCAAATTTTAATAGACGGTGAATGCATAACCTATGACCAATGTAATAACCTTAGAAAATATTCTAAATTTTGTTATAAAAGCATCATGCAATACTTTTCTTAAAAATTACTGTAATCAAAAGAATGATGTGCTGAGAAGTACTTTAAGGAAACGAAAGCTTCAAACTCTAGTAAAATAGATAATTTGTGTTCAGTTTAAATAAGGCCTTAAGTTTATGTAACTGTTTGGTAAGTTTTATTTATGCTTGTATAAAATGTTTTAAATATTAATGAAACATATACATATATTTTTATGGCAATTTGAATGAATTATTTATTTTGTTGTATTATATGCAAACTTCATGATTTAATGGAAATCTAATCTTTAATTAAACATTTAGATGACTTAAATATATTTTAATTGTATTTAACGATTTCTGGTTACAATTGAAAAGAGAAAGTAGTGTTATTAGTTTTGATTAGTGTGATTAAGAATGATAGATAAAGATGTATGAGGTAGTACTTGTGTACCCATAATATTTGCAATATTAATATGCAAATGTATACATTTATTTATTATTAATTAAGTTTTAGGCGTTTTTCTAGAAAAATAAGCATAAACAATTTGCAAAGAAATATTTATAGAGTTAGTTTAATTTCAGTTCTACTAATATAAATAATATGCTATTTGCATTATGTATGATGATCAACAATACTTATGATACCATGCGAATTTATTATAGATGTGTGAAAATGAATTCTATAGAAAGGTCAAAGTAGCAGTTTATTCTTTTTATACGAAATTAAGCTTTTGATTTAGCAAAACTCCTTTATATATTTTATAAAGCACGAAATGCACTACTTTTATTTCAATGCTTTATTTCTTATGTGTATATTTTTCTAAATGTAGAAACCTTAATGTTTTGCTGCATCTAATGTGCTAATATGTAATGTAATTGTTATTTCATTTATTGCAAAATCGGATTTATTTAGATGATTTTTTTAAACTCCAGGAATAAATAATGTGCAAATATACATATAAAGCTAATTTTATTGTTTTTATAATTTTTGCTGCTAGCATTTAAATTTATATGGAAAGGAATTCACTTGCTACAGTGGTGCAGTAATTTGTTTGAATAATGCATAGTGTTTTTGAAATTTGAGTTTTGTTTTAGCTTTTTACCTGTAATTTACTTTATATACTCAACTGAAAAGGCGTTTTCATGCTTTTTTAAAGCTCGATAATGTTTTGAGCTTTGAGAAATGGGATAATGCTATTAATTGCTCATTTATTCTTGGAATTAAAAACTGCAGTAATACTAAATAAATAATTGCATTAAAATAAGAGTATTAAAGAAAAGCATGTTTATGTCACTTATCTGCTACATGGAGTCTGTTTTTTTTCCCTTGTGAATTTTTAATATTTTATAATCTTTGAAATGCTAATAAAAATTTGTTTTTTGACGCAACACTTTTTGCATTCTTTTCTTTACATAGAACTGGTTTTTTTGGATTAACGAAACTAATGGTAATTTTTGTAAATATATTTTTAGCCAGTAGTATGCTACTGAATATTACTTTGTTAACTTTGCTTTCTAGTTAGATACTAGAAGATAATTGTTATATAAAGTTTTAAAATGCTGAATAGAAATTTTTTGGATTAAAAAAAAATCTAGAAAATAATATATTAATTTTGGGTCGACGTAAACATGACTAAACAAGATATGATATTATCCATCTGAATATAAAAATTAATAATAGTTTCCTTTTATCTATATGGTTTTCTGCAATTCTCTAGGAAAAAAATAACATTCATTATTAAAAGCACAAAATATACAAACACTAGCCAAAACGCCGCTTTCAGATCTGACGCAAAGGAAGTTGTATCTTTATACTCAACAGCAATGATCACTTTCCTCCTGGCGCTCGAAGGTACGGGGTCTCCTTGCCGTGACGTCACTTTTCAATGATACGGCCTTCTTAAGTCTCGGTGGTGTCGGCAGGATCGCATGTAACTATCTCGAGCTTAACTCTGCCAAGGAGGGAGGAGTCCAGAAAAGCATAACTAGAATCATCCCGCCTTCTAAACTGTGACTTATGCTGAAATATTGTGTCTTTTAAAATTACAAGTGTTTCTTAAAAAGTGTGTTTATTCCAGAACTTTGTACAGTGTGAACTGTTTGTGAATACTGTTAATTTATATGACTTTAACATTTCTCGTACGAGAACTCTTGAAATTCACCAGAAATATGCTACTGTTGACTTATTCCTCATTTGAGCCACTCCCACCAGTATAATTACGATCCATTTCATTCTGAACCTGTTTCAAAAGCATACTTAATTTAAATTACTTAATGTTTATTTTTTCAAATGCTTTATTAAGCAAACTTTTCAGCTAGTTATATCTTTCGTCACAGCTCGAACAGCTCCCAGATGCTTTTTCACTCTACATGCCTTTGTATTTGCTTCAGCTTCGCCTAGTAGGCGCTGCGTTACACACCCATTTTTGCAATTATATATACCAACGCCTAAGGGCATTTTTTCAAAAGCGGTGGTTAAAGCAGCAGAGGCTGCTAATTGCCTCCTAACCATTCAAAAGACAAGACAAGACAATAACACAAGTAAAGCAAGGGCTAGCCCAGTACGGCGAAGAAAGAAGTGGGAGTCATAAAGGGTAGTTACCATTCCAGACTGACTGACTGACTGATTAATTTATTGTCGGACTACCACACAGTGTGCAGATTTTCAAGCTCAATCAAATTTCCCACATGGGCGCATCAGATGATGCCCGTGGTATCGCAGAGGGAGCGGGGGAGGTGGAAAAAGAGAGGACCGAGGCATCGCGCGGTCAGTAAGCAGAGCGATCATGGACAGCAAGTGGAACGTCCTAAGTTAATTGAAGAAAAAGCACAATGTCTTAAATTAACAATACAATACAAATACAGAAAAAGTAAAAATATAAAGTAAAACTATATACAATATATACAAGATATTGCATTAAGTAGGAAAGTTAGAGTCATTTACGAGGTGTGCCGCTAGTGGTCGTATTTCACAGTCCTCGTCTAGAATTGTACAATTTAGTGTGTTTAAATTAGACAAATGTGCACAGTTAAGAGCTTTCATGAAGAAATTCCTGTTGAGTTCGTGCAAATGCTGCTCAATTGTACTAAGTTTCAAGTCTCTGTGTAGAGTGGCGTTGCTGACGTAGTAATGAGCGTTAGTAATCATTCTAAATATTCTATTCCGAATTACTTGCAGTATGTATAGGTCTCTCTTTTTGGCCGTATTCCAGGCTGGCGAAGCATATGTAATGATAAGCCGCATGTTCATTATATACACAAGCCTGTTTCGACGGAGATATAATTTTGAAACTTGTTAAGAAGGAGCTTTAAACTGTCGATTACAGCGAAAACCTTTGGCTTTTGTGACTTGCAGCATCTGTTCATTGAAAAGATAGAGTTTCCTTTTCATTGGAGTCCGCGTATGTTTTCTCCTGATGACAAGTAGTTGCGCATTGATCGATATCCTCCATTTAGTACTCCAGGATTCAGTGCCAATGATTTCAGATTACGGATTGCTTATGGTTGAGAATCATTTACCTCATGAGAATTAAATAGAGTACAAACAAGAAAATTGCACAATTTATTTTACTTGATGCAAGCTAGATGGAGCTACACATGCTCAAGGAAGGAAGAGGAATTAGGCCTTTACGAAGCTTTAGAAAATATTAAGCTATAGAAAAAGTAGTGGTAAACGAAAAATAACTATCTCTCCTTAAAATTTCAATAGACACTTGTTAGTTTCGAACACGATCACACATATGTTTCTCTTCTTTACCAACAATGTTACGGGAGAGAAGCATTACTCTTTTAAACAAACTTAAAACTTTTTATTAACAAAATAAAAAAATGCTTTAAAAATTTTAATTTAATCTAAATTATTAAAAAATAAATTAAAAATTCAAAATTCTGAGTATTTTAGAAATACGGTTTAGATAAAAACAAAAGTAAAGGCGCTCAGACGAGAATATGGGCTTCAGCGCGATAAATTCTCCCCCCCCCCCCCCCGTGCTTTAACGAATCTGACTCGTGGGCTTGGAAATAACAATATTTCTTTTTCGTACAGTTTTGCCATTACTCGCTTTGAAATCGTTGAGTTTGCTAATCAAAATTACGCTGAAGTTTTAAAAAATATGAAATACACAACAAAACAAATTAGAAATCAGAAATTCGGGCTTCTAGATCTCCATGTTCTAGTGGAGGACAACATTATTCAAAATTTGATGGCTCTAGATACCGTTGTTTTTTCACAATGCGAAAAATATGCATACTTTCATGCAAATTCTTTGTTATTTAATTTCCTTAAATTTAATACAGGATGATAATATTTGGTGGCAACACTTTGAAAAGTTATTCAGACTTTTATAGTGATTCAAAACAGACCGTTTTGAGCATAATAGAGCTTCTGCCTAACGCTTCTTTGGACTAATAAAAAAAATAATAAAAGTGAAGTGAATTTCTTAAACTTTATAATTTCCTTACTAATTCTATAACAATTTTGCACATCGATTTTATAAGCTGTATTAAATAAGCCTTCTAGACATGAAAATTGAGCCTAGGTCGAGAATGCATGGCTGGTTTTCTCGGTTTTTCTCATTTGTAGCGTGAATGCGAGTGAATTTTCCTTTGAAAATCCTCTGTACCGGTATCCATTCACTTTATTGTTTATTTTCCTTGTGGATAACATTAGTATGCGTTTCATTTC